TTTATTGTGAATTTCACTTGACTAACGTCTATCAATTGACTACTACTTCTACGCGCCGCTGGCGAATCTTATATGTGTTGTTCTTGCCCTAAGTATTATCGTTCATTACCAACCTTCGTGTGATTATTCTATTCAGTAACCTTCCCAAGGTTAGAACAGAGTGTTAAATTTTGTCGACCCTCTGTTTATATTTATGAGATGAGGTATTGTAATTATTTACATTATTTACATTCTTCGGGCTGTTCTTCTCATCTTTATTAAAACATTTCCGTTATTTCGGCCATTGTACGCTCCGACCTTCTTCAGGGCCTGTCGATATTTCTGATATGAGATACTGTAAATGTTTACCCTATTTACATTGTTCGGACTGTTGTCCTCATCGTTATTGTCATATTCCCGATGTTTCGACGGTTGTACGCCTTGTCATTGTCGATATACGTTAAAATTCCGAACCGAATCCTTCATGAAGTCCCCCGGGGTAGATTGTTCTAGTTCCACATGCCATGCCTTTTTTGATATATCAGTTTCGCTTATCAACCTTTAGTAACTCAACTCTCCAGGTATTATTTCACTTCTGCTGTGGCCAGATATTGAACTCGCCGACGATAACTTACGTAATCAGCGTATATGTTAGGCCACAAAAATCTCCGACCAAGAAGGAACAGTGTACAAGAGAAAAACAACAATAGTAAAAACTTGTAATATGAGCACAAGTAAAAATGGTTCGAGGACATATAGCGCAGTGATTGCAAAAGAGTTGTGAGTTCAATACCTGGCCACGAAAACTTGGAGAGATGAGTTACTAAAGGGAAATAACTGAAACTGAAATATCCAGAAAAGGCATGGCACGTGGAAATAGAATAAATAAAGAGTTCGGTTCGGAATTCCACCCTATATCACCTGAAGAAGGTCGGGGCGTCCAACGGTCGAAACGTCATGAATATAACAATAAAGATTAGGACAAGTGTCCAAAGAAAGGAAATAGTGTAAAGAAATCTTAAATCTTATTTTGATCCTTAAAACAGATAGTTTTAAAATGTTTACTACGTGTATCTATGATCATTATATAATATTATTTGATCTTGTTTATAAAATAGGACGAAGATCTACTTGATCGAGTTGAACCAATAAAATAACGTTCTTTGTAATATCAAATATTGATTAAAACATCCAGTAACTAACTCTCTCTCTCTCTCTCTCTCTCTCTCTCTCTATATATATATATATATATATATATATATATATATATATATATATTACATTTTTTATTAATTTACTCTAACGGTATTTTTCTTTTGACAAGACATTGCGGTGCTGATTGATTATTTTCGACGACCAACCCGGATGTTTTCTTTTTTTACTGTTAGCGGTTTATTCAAATATATTTTATTTACAAATTGTATTATCTGTTTTTACACACCGTCCAAGTATAGGTATTAAAATAATATATATATATATATATATATATATATATATATATATATACATGCACACAAATAAACACATACACACATATATATAATCTGGAAAAAATTTCAACAAACTTAGACAATAGTTTCACAGCATGGCCAATTACTAAGAAGCAAAAGGAGGTAGAAAAATTATTCTTCGAGATCATTCGCAGGACTTAAGATAACTGACGAATATATATATATATATATATATATATATATATAGTCTCGTTCCATAGTCAAGTAATAATAGGAATTATATATATATATATATATATATATATATATATATATATATATATATATATATATATATATATATATATCCTATCATCCTTGACAATGGAACGAGCAATGATAGGAAATACACACACACACACACACACACACACACACACACACATACGCACACACACACACTCACAAACACACACACACATATATATATATATAATTCCTATCATCGCTAGACAATGAAACGAGAATATGCGATGATAGAAAATATATCTTAAAAGCATAAGATATGCAGATGCCAATGTTGATAGCAGACACGGAAAGGAAACTACAAGAAGATAGTGAAGGAAAGCGACAAGAAAAGGCTAAACATCAATTGCAAGAAGAAAGAATGCATGGTTGTTAGAAAAAGGGACCAGCCCAACATGCAACATGTAAAGGAACGCGAGAAGAAATGATTAAACATCCAATGCAAGAAGATGGAAACAAGTAAAAATTAATCCAAATAAATGAACAAATTAACAAATCGCTCCCGGTAAAATAACCGTTAGAACTCGTAAAAATAAACATAAAACATGCAAATTAAATGTTTGGAGATACCAAAATCAAAAAATTATATTAATTTAAATAACTGGAAAATGTTTTAACAGGGGATGGAAAGTGTTGCACTTAGTTCCGAAGGCGAACTGGGATAGCCTAAAATTCTTCGCAAAAAATAAACAAACACAAAAATATTGCTAGAAACAAAGAAAAGAGTACTGAACTATTATGGTTTGGTTTGGTTTGGTTTGATTTAAGTCATATCAACCTCAATGGGTTATTTAATGCCGACAATTTTTTTTGTTGGTAATATTTTTTCAAAAATCTATTTCTGGTAATATTTTTTTCTTCAAAAATCTATTTCTGTTAATTTTCATTCAGACATGTATATCTGGTAAGATTTATAGCTGATAATATTTCCATTTAAAAAAAAAAATTCGTAGCTGGTAATAGTTTTCCTTTTTTTTTCGAAAAAATGTACAGCTAGCAATATCTTTTTTTAAATGTACTGCTGAAAATATTTTTTTACAAATTTTTCTTACTAGTATTAAAACTTTTTTTACACGTGTTGACATTGGTTGGGGGAAAACTTCCTGATCAGACGCCTTGCTGGGACCCTAACAGGTGCTACCACCCCGGATCAGGGTGGACCTGTGAACACGAGCAATTAAGAGGTGATTCCACGCTCTTCAAAACCTCCTTATCAAAGTCCTTGCTGTTGGACATAGTTTATCGTCTTACCCAGGACGCGGATGTAGGTTATCGTCATACCCAGGACGGGAACTATTATATAATATCGTTACTTCTATATAGCACAAAATACTGGACAACTCCTTCACTAGTCCTGGGTATGACGATAAACTAAATCTGGCAGCAAGGCCTCCGATCGGAAGATTGGAGGATTTGAGGAGTGGGGACCACATCTTAACTGCTGATGTTCCCAGGGTGGCAGCACCTGTTAGGGTCCTAGTGATCCCCCAAACAAAAACAAAATAATATGAAAGTAGAAAAGTACATTCTTACAAAACATTACCAACACTACCTATTTCTAGAAAAATTTCCAACAATATATTTATAGGAAAATGACCAGCAAACCATTTTGAAAGCAAAATTAGCAGCAATACATTTTATAATAAAATTACAAACACTATATAATTGAAGCGAAAATAAACATAAAAATAAAACGTTTAAAAATGAAAATGTTATCCGTTTAGCATGCAAGTTCGTACAAATTTTCACGCCTTGAGTATTGAAGTAAACATTCAAAGACAGTTTGCGTGTTTAGGTTTATCAAAAACTTAGTTTTGACAGTCAGAGAATTGTCAAATGTCACTAGGAATGTAAAAATATTTCGTTCAGATCTGAATTTTCAAATAGATTTTAATTATTGTAAAATCACTGATATTAGGAATTGGTTACAAATTCCGGATATGAGGGGTCATGCCCAGGAAGTGAACTAGGGAATAAGTTGTGATAAAAAAAAACCCAATAAAGATGAGGACAATAGTCCCAATGGAAATAAAGTAGAATCCATGACAACCGAACTAAGAAGGCCTTCCGGATATGAGGAATTGGTTACAATGTCCGGATATAAGTGGTTATATTTAGATTAAAATAAAAGAACTGAAATCAAGTTTAACATTTATTTTCAATGTTTTATAGTAAACAAAATAAGCTAATGATGGGTGAAATATGACAGAATTGATTTTAAGGAAAAAGAAATAAATTATGTAATCATAATGAAAATTCATTAAATTAAGTATGCCACGTATGCAAAACAAATAATGTAACAAGGATTTTTAATCGCTGTTGCATGATGATTCTTTTTCTTCTAATGTCATTTTCAACTTTTTCCGCATTTCGTTTTGCTTTTGTTCTTGAAATTTTTTAAACGAAAGACACTATTTAACTCTGCGTGCGTTATTGCAATCGTCATAGCTGAATGCTGGCTTTCTTTCCATAAAACTGACAACATTTTCACTAGCTTTTTTAATTTCAGTCGAGGTTTCATCCCAATCATGTTTTTTATTTCCTTGTTCATTGTGACAGTGTGAACGCTGAAGAACAGTTTCTTTGGAAGATTTTATATCATACAATGTTGACATTCCTATGTTGCAATCAGTCATTAATTAAAATGAACCTTCACCAGCGTTTAGTCTGTTTAAAATGTCCACCTTTTGCGATACCTCCAAAGTTGTTCTTTTCCTCTTATTCCCATCATCTTTTGCACCAATACAAGCCATTAGGGTGAAATAAGCATAAGCAATTATCCAAAGTAAATTTCCTGAAAAACAGAAATTTCAAATCAGTTACATATCACCCAAATAGTTCAAATATACACATTAAAATCATCATCCGGATATGCGGGATTCCGCATATGAGGCAGTTCGGATATGAGGGATTCCGGATATGAGGGATTCTACTGTAATTCCAATCGTAAGAAATACATTTGACCAACTATTTCTGGAATGGAAGTTTAGCGTGGTAAGGAGATTGTGCTTCCTAATATAGACAAAATTTATTCATATGTCTGGCCTACGATCATGCATGTAGGACTTGTAAAATTATTTTCTGTCGCTTAACCAGGGCAAACTATGCATAATTGCAAGACAGCTATTTTAAATCGACCGTGTATATTTGCGTGGGATAGATTCGAAGTTTTTTTTATTTTTATTTTTTCAGCGAAACATGATAACACGTGACATTTTTTGAGAACAATTGGAAGAGGAAAACTAAAAAAAAAAAACAACAAACAAACAAAATCTCCATCTAAAATTAATTGAATGAAGGAAAATGTGTAGAATAAAAGGAAGAGAAAAAAGAATGGAGAGTAGACGATGAGAAGAAAGAGGGTAAAGAAGAGAAGGTATAGAATAAAAGCAAAAAAGAAAGAGTAAGTGACGAAGAGAAAGAAGAAAGATAAGGAATGCATCTGATGAATGAGGGGAGAAAAGTGAAAAGGACAAAGAAAAATCAGTGTAAATAATAGAGCTTCTTTTATCACCTGTCACAGAAAGACAAGATTAAATCAGTTTTTCCAAACACAATATTTAAATATTTCAACATGGCAGACAGATATAGAAGAATCTAAAACAAACATATTACGATATCATAGATATTAACAGATTAACAGGAACTTACACATAAATAGAAATGGAGACTGAAACATATATACATAGATAAGTGTTGAAGCTTGGATAAGCATGGAATAATAATAATACAACATAAAATGTACGTAAACAAAATGTATTGAAACAAGGAAAAGGTACACAATATTTACAGTTAGTTTTGGTATATTCTTGGGAAGACGGTTCCTGTAGAATGGGTTGACTTAATCGCAGTCGGGCAGAGTCTCTCGATTAGATCCCTTCTTCCTCGTCTTCCGGTACCAACCCATATTTATATCGGTCGGTACTCCACTATGTAAATTAGGTGGATCGTACCACAACAATAAGGAACACACACACACAGACGGATAGATAGATAGATAGATAGATAGATAGATAGATAGATAGATAGAGAGACACATAGATAGATAGATAGATAGATAGATAGATAGATAGATAGATAGATATGAACATAGAATGACAGAGAGACACATAGATAGATAGATAGATAGATAGATAGATAGATATGAACATAGAATAGATATAGAATAGATAGATAGATAGTATGCAATGACAGAGATACATAGATAGATAGATAGATAGATAGATAGATAGATAGATAGAACGATGAACATAAATAGAATATCTAGAGAGATATATATAGATAGATATATAGATATATATATATATATATATAGAGAGATAGAGAGATAGATAGATATGCAGAATGATAGATACGAACAGGAACTAGATAGATAGATAGATAGATAGATAGATAGATGAACGACTGTCAGACAGATAAATAGCTAGATATCTAGATTTGAACAGACTGATAGATAGATAGATATACAGAATAACAGATACGAACAGGAATTGACATATAGATAGATAGATAGATAGATAGATAGATAGATAGATAGATAGATAGATAGATGTGAATAGAATGATAAAAATAAGAGACAGATATATATGAACAGTGACTGATAAATAAATAAAAATAAAAATAGATAGATAGTTAGATCTGATTGGCCCATCTCAGTTTAACATTCCGCTAAAAAGATAACTGAAAAATCATGAAAACCTTTTGCTAATTGAGTTCAAGATTGCGCCACCTGATATCCTTCCTTTAAACGTAAAAAAAAAAATTGCAAATATAAAAAAAAATGCAAATTATAAGCATAAAGCATTATGAATTCAAAAAGACATTAGTCCTAATTTCTGAATTTTCAACTAAACATTGGAAGCTTTAATTGAATTAAAATTACCAATTTGTAAATTTAAAATGAAATTATGATTAATTACATTGGCTAACTCAACAAATCAGGTGAAATTCAAGCCTCGATTTCATTTCTCAATGGCGTCGTTTTTTTTTGTTTTTTGTTTTTTTAACCGAAAATGTTTTAGAAGAACGTCAAGGATTCTACTATAATTGTGCTATTTCATGGGCCACAGGGCCTCATCAGGTTAAACAATTATTTTAAATGGCAGTCCGATTTTGAATTAGAGAGAAGAGAAAGAAAAGAAACTTAGTAGCTGATTGATTTGTTTGATTTTTTCGACTTGTCACCCCTTTGAATTTTATTTAAAGCCAGAACATATTTCTAGATTTTAAGTTCCCTTTTTTTTTTTTTTAGATAATAATGATTTAGTGATACAAGTCTTACTTATTAACCCATGGCTGGGCGAGAGGAGGTGGATTTATAACTTTCCCAAGGGTATTTGTGCAGAAGTTAATATTAGAAACCTGACTGGAATTTAAACCCGGCACTCTGATTAACAATTCCGAGCCGTTATACACCAGCCGCACATCTAAACTTAGAGCACCTGCTATTCCCAAGCAGTCACCCATCAAAGCACTGACCAAGCTCGACGTTGCTTATCTTCGGTGTTTCAACGTGATATTGTCAGTTGAAAGAAAATAGCTAATATTTGTAAAGTCAGTTTGGAAACCATTTCAATCTACTTCCGCTCGTAGCTTCGCCAACCAAGGTTTCTTAACGAATATATCAGGAAATAATAGTGAAATAGTAATTGCGAGTTCAATCCCTGCATCGGGTAGTGAAGACTTCATTTGGTTTGTTTTATGGCATATCAACCTCAATGGGCTTATTTAATACCGACAAGATTTTTAAATCTGGTAATTTTGTTTTTTAAATGTATTGCTTGTAATATTTTTTTCTTGAAAATGTATTGCTGTATTGAACGGTGGGTAAACATTTAAAACTATTTTTTATATCTACCGTGAAAGATTACATACCAATTATTTGCGAATTTTGACACAGGAGCTCAGGGTTAAAATTTTTCAGGAACGCAGAGCTGAAAGGGTTAAACAATATAGTAGAAAATAGGAAATAATAGTGAAATAGTAATTGTGAGTTCAATCCCTGCATCAGGTAGTGAAGATTTGGTATATCAACCTCAATGGGTCATTTAATGCCGACAACTTTTTTTTTCTGGTAATATTTTTGTTTTGTCAAAAATCTATTTCTGTTAATATTTTTTCCTCACAAATGTATAGCTGGTAATATTATTTTTTCAAAAACGTATAGCTGGTAATATTTTTTTCAAAAACGTATTGCTGGTAATATTTTTTTCTTCAAAAATTTATTTCTGGTAATAATTTTTTTATAAAGTATTTCTGGTATTAAAACCTATTTTTACACTTTTATAATGCTTTTTACCTCAGTTTCGGGGTTAACTATTTGCCCATAGCTAGGACCCTAACAGGTGTTACCACCCCGGGTCAGGGTGGACCTGGGAACACCAGCAATTAAGAGGTGGTTCCACGCCCCTCAAAGCCTCCTGATCAGAGGCCTTGCTGTTGGACGTAGTTTATCGTCTTACCCTGGATGCGGATGTAGTTTATCGTCATACCCAGGCCGCTTGGTTTGTTTTGTTTTACGGCATGTCAACCTCAATGGGTTATTTAATGCTGACAAGATTTTTATTGCTGGTAATATTTTTTCCTTCAAAAATGTATTGCTGGTAATAATATATTGCTGGATATAATTTTTTCTTTAAAAATTTATTGCTGACATTAAAACCTATTTTTACACTTTCATGGTGTTTTGACCTAAGTTTGGGGGTTAACTATTTGTCCATTTTTGAGTCACTAAAAGGTGTTACCGCCCTGGGTCAGGGTGGACCTGGAAACACCTGCAAATAAGAGGTGGTTCCACGCTCTTCAAAACCTTCTGATCAGAGGCCTTACTGACGGACGTAGTTTATCGTCTTACCCAGGACGCGGATGTACTTTATCATCTTAACCCAGGATGCCTCATTTGCGGTGGCGGGGGGATGGCTTACGCATTGGCAGAGGTGCAGTCGGTGAATACTGAAGCCCCAGCGGAACGAGACATGTCTACCACTGCAAATTAAATAAAGTTTGAAATTCCCTGAAAGTTATTCAGATCGACGAGTACCAAATAAAGGTTGAAAAATATAACAGACAAACTGGTACTGATTAAGTATGTTATAAGTTGTTTTCTATTGTCTCACTTGCCTTCAATCTGTCCTGTGAGTATCAGATTTTCCAAGCCCTCTTTCCTAATTATGTTCTCTAGGAATTTTAACTATCTGTACCTGATGTTATGTATAAGTTTCCTTTTTGTTTTCATTTTTCTATAAAACTTCGTCTTTGCTTACATTTTCGGTCCATGGAATCCTCAGCATCCTTCTGTAGATCTACATTTCTGTTGCTTCAAATCTCTTTTTTGTCTCTGGGGAGATTGTCCAGTATTCAGTGCCGTATAGATAGAAAGTTATCACGTAACAATTCAGTTTTCTTTGTTTCTAACGAAGTTTTCTCAATATTGTTTGTTGCTATTGTTTCTTAATACTCTGCTTAGCTTTTGGAATGCATATGAAGTCTAATTTCACGATTAAGAATTTTGGCTTCTCCGTAGATATTACTGGTATGGAATGCAAATGCTTTGAAGATGTCACTGTCTTTGAGATTGGTCTGTTTCCCAAGTCTGGTCTCCTTAGCGTTGATAGCAGCGAAATACAGAACCATGGCTGACGACAGTATATATAAAGGAAAGTCTCCCCAGATGTGACATCCTGTTCGAGGCATATACCACGAATAAAATAATAAGCTTTTGTTGCAAAAGTTAGGGTCATGCAGCAAAATAATCGATTGGCGATTTTGCTCAGACAAAGGACTTTTCTTTTCCAATGAGACATTTAAACATGCCAATTGTTCACTGAAGCGTCATATAATAACACTTTCTTCAGGTTCTTGCAACTTATAATAAAAGAAAAATTCTCTTTGAAGCCCACCCAACATAAAACAGACCCCCATTCTCTACTGAAGATTACCTTTTTAGGTTTAGATGCTGAAAATTATCTTCGATGTTGCATCATATTCTTCTGGCGTTTTGATTCGTTTGGTTTGGTTTGGATTACGGCATATCAAACTCAATGGGTTATTTAATGCCGACAAGATTTTTATTTTCCAAAAATGAATTTGCTGTTAATATTTTTTTCTTCAAAAATGTATTGCTGGTAATAATCATTTACAAAAATGTATTGCTGCTAAACCTGTTTTTACACTTTCATAGTATTTTCACCCCAGTTTGTGAGTCAAATGGTTTCTCATAGATGAGACCCTAACAGTTGCTACCACCTTGGGTTAGGGTCCACCCTGACCTGGGAACACCAGCAATTAACACGCTCTTCAAAACGTCCTTATCAAAGGCCTTCCTACCGGATGTAGTTCATTGTCTTACCCAGAACGCGGATATAGTTGGTACTTTTTGTTCGGAAGATAGAAACAGAATGCATTGTTTGCCGTGAACGTCTGGGCGATTTTAAACAAAGTATTTAGGATTTCTTCCAATGCTGAATTAATCAGATGTTCAAAATTTCTACATTAGCCTTTCTAATTGATTATAACATTTCGAAAAAAACAAAAAAATTTGAAGGATTTTTTATCAGTAAGTTATATTCAACAGTTTTTGGTGCTCGATTCCTTCTAGTGAATGCAATTCTTTTTTGTTTATTACCGTTATCAAATTCAAAAGAAATTCTCTCGTAGTATCGGTAATCATGAAGATTTTTTGTACAGTTGCTAACTGAATAATCCTCGATAAAGGCAATAAAAAAAAATAATGTTACTCACAAGAAGGAATCGAAGCCCAAAATCTATTGATCGAAAATTATTGCAAAAACTTTATTCAGAGAGATTCAAAAATTTTTATTTGAATCTCTCTCTCTCTCTCTCTCTCTCTCTCACTCCTTCGGTTCACATCTATCTATCTATCTATCTATCTCTGTTCATACCTATCGATCTATCAGTCTATCGATCTATCCAGCTATGTATCATACTCTGTTAATTTCTATTTATCTGTCAGTCCCTGTTCACATCTATCTCATTCTTTTCATCTCTCTCTCATTCTGTTGACATCTATCTATCTATCTATCTATCTATCTATCTATATATATATATATATATATATATATATATATATATATATATATAGTTCAATAAAGGTGCAATTAATTTACAATAAACTCAATAAATCATTTCTAATAGCATTTTTTCGGATTACAACAATACATATATTTTCGTTGTCCTCTTATTACTGAGAGTAAAAACAAGAACAAAATCTATTCCATACCTGAGGATGTCTGTAGGAACAGACGAAAGCTTGTAAAAATAATAAGAACTCATGCAACAGAAATTTATAGAAACAAGGATCTTTTCATTCATAAACAGGTTCGGGGTTTTTTGTATATTATTTGAATTGTTCGCGACGATGGATTTCTCGCAATTAAATCATTAACCTTTGTATTTTTTTTTTGTATGAATAATTCATAATATATATATATATATATATATATATATATATATATATATATATATATATATATCACTGTTCATTTCTATTTATTTGTGAGTCTCTATCCATATCTATCTCATGGTTTTCAACTCTCTCTGTCTCATTCTTTTCACATCTATCTATCTATCTATCTATCTATCTTCGAAAAAAGTCTTCCCCTTTCATGTGAACACCTCCTGTAAATATAGTAA